GAGAGGCGTGAGAACCCTATAATGGGACCACCTTGGAAACTTGGCCTTTGTGAGGAGAGTTAGAACCCACCTTTGCCAATGTACTTTTTTGCAGGAAACCCCTACCTCATAATTAAAACGTCAACGCTTTGTTCGTAAATGACTGAATTGTTTGTACATATGTTTGTTGCATTTTGTTTGTCGCATTTGCATAGTATAATCATAGAACAACAAAAATAAATGAAAATTCTTAAAATAATCTTACTTTAAAATCTTTTTGCTATGACCCACCTTATCTCGGACAGTCTTCATTTAAGCTAGCCTGGTTTCTAGTTCTTTGTAAGCTAAGTAGCAACGCTGACCTACAGAAAAGATAAAGAATCATAAAAAACAAATAAAAAATTTCCTATAACTACAATAAAGAGCTGAAGACTTTCGTTCAAAGATGATCAGGTCTCAAAGGTCCCTATACGTGTTTACTAGGCTCCATATTAGAATAGGAAAGTTTTCTGTACACAAAAAATAAGAAAATTCTGCCCAAAAGCTCGATATGGTCGTCCCAATTATCCAGACTGGCGTCTCGTTTGGTGAGACGACCATCTCGCCACTTATGGGTCGAGACCGCCTTCTTGTCACTTGGCGAGACGGCCGTCTCGACCTCAAAGTGGCAAGACAGTCATCCCGGTCTGACAGACACGAATTTCTATAAATATGACTTTCGACCAAGGAGGAAAGGACACGAAAAATCTAAAAATCACATAGTTATTACTTCGATATAATGCTTACTGTTTTTGCTTCAGGAGAGGAGTTTCGGTAATTTTCTGTTCAAGAGAGGAGTGTCCTTGTAGAGAGCGGAGAATCGCCAAAAAGCACCCCTTGCAATTTATAAAAACCTGCTTCGAAGGTTCTTAAAATTCTTATTCTCTTTTATCACTTTTTATTATTTACTCTCTGTGCATTAGTTATTAGGGTCATGTAGTCGATAATTTAAATTTCACAATGAATAAATAAGGGTAAAAGCATAATTTTAATATTCTTATTTAAAAATAAACGGTCTATCATAGAGAACCCGAAAGGGGCATCGTGGGGAAGCTAACACTTTTCCCGCACGTAACTAACTCTCTTACCTAACTCTGGTTGTAATGACCAAAGTTTTTTTTTTTTTGAAATCATCATTTTCTTTTTCTTTTCCAATATTTTTTGGGTTAAAATATTGGTGGCGACTCCAGAACCCTTTACAAAAACTTCACCCTTAGAATAGTTCGGTTATCGGACATCCTAAGAGTGATGACCACGCTTTAAAAATGCGAGTCAACAAAAAATCATCGTGTCACTCCGACTGCCTCTTTTGATGGCAACGACATCATGGACGATCATCCATGATGAGTAGACGGTCGTCCATGCTTATTTCAAGCCATAGACGGCCATCCATGCTTATTTTAAGCCATGGACGACCGTCCACTTAAGTCAGATGACCGTCCAAATTTCCTGACATGTTTCCCTATAAATAGGACCTCATTTCTCCATTTTTCACACACTCTCACACTCTTCTTTCACCCTAGAAGGCATTCTAAGACCTCTAGGTGACTCTAACCATTATTCCGGAGTCTGAGTAATCTTTCAGACACTCATGAATTGAGTTTTCTTTTCCTTTAGAGGGAAGAGCGAGGGGATCGCCAAAAAATATCCTCAAGTTTCAAGATTTTGTAAAAAAGCTTCCTTTGGAGGTTTTTTTTCCTTATTCTCTCTTTTATCGCTTTCCTTTACTGATTTCCTTTGTTTGCATTGTATATTAGAACCATGTAGATAATCATTTAAATACTACAATGAATAAATAGAATAGAAGTATAATTTTTATGTCTTTATTTTAATATTATTCCATCATAGATAACCTAAAAGGGGAGTTGTGGGAGTACTAACACCTTCTCCACATGTAACTAACTTCCTTATCCAATTCGGTTATAATGACCAAAATTGGTTTTTCTTAAACCAACGCCTTTTATTTTCCTTTTCCAATATTTATGGTAAAAACATTGGTGACAACTCCAGAAGTCATTTACGAAAACCTCTCTTAAGGGTAGTTTGGTTATCCAACACTCTAAGAGCGATGACCACTTTTTTTACAAAAAAAAACACGAGTCACAACTATCACATCACACCGACCGCTTTTTATGACAACGACAAATGGCGACTCCACTGTGAATAAATAACCAAAAATATTGAAAACTTAAAACAATTTTTTTTCTTATAAGACACACATGCATCTCCCATAGTAGTCTTGTGGGCCTTCTTGAATAAGTAGCAGTTATATTTGTAACTGTCACTTGTTTCTAAATATAAACACAAATTAGAATATAGTTGAAAATAGTATAAATAATTTACTTATACATGTAATTAACAAATATGAAAACAATTAAAATTACATACCAAACATTTAAAATGCTTAGATGAAGGGATTGATCCACCTGTATATAATGAACCATCAAATTACATATAGTAAGAATCCAATTTTCAACATCAACCCTTATACAAAGCACTTGAGTGCCCTTCAAATGCTTTATGTTCATATGTGCAACGAATTTTGGACGTCGTATTTTGGCAACCACTTGTACTTCCTCTATATAACAAAGTTATTGATTAGTAATATTGGACAACTATGGAAATATATGAAAATATAAGAAGTATATACCATAAAATATTTTCGCCACATTTTGGAGACATATCAAGATTCACTTTTAACCTTTAATATGTTTCCCAATTTCCATGAAACTTCACCTCTATTATCCTTGTTATTTCATGTGTGGGTTGAATTGATGATCAAATCTATAAAATAAAATATTAGATAAAATTATATTGAAATACATAAATAATAAATGAAATTGAATATTTTAAAGGTTCAAATTTACTTATGTGTTTAGGTAATTACTGACGAATGTATCCGTCGGAAAGTATCAGACCCAAAAGCAAGTTGTCTAGCTCCATATAATCTTCCCTTACTTCAGAAGGTATGCAACATAAGCAATAACTACTCCCTAGAGAAAAAGTTGAAACAGAGTTAGAGCCAATATTCAACAAAGGAAAGATTAGAACTACTACTAGTTATTCAGTTTTATGCAATTTAAGCGGGGATTTATTTTATGTAACAAGGTGTGATTTGTGAAAATGTAGATTCATGTCATTCCCCATAGATGAACAGAAAATGCCAAGTATAGCAAAATATCAGGTTACCTCCATATCTTTAACAGTAGCATCATTTGCGATGATTGATAATTCATCCTGCTGTGACATATCTAAATAGTCACCAATAGACAATTTAGCCACCTGAAATATACAGAGGTATTGATTAAGGTTCAAGTTTTGCACAATTAATCTAAACAAAAGAACAGGCCACGATATTGTAATGAAACAAATCAAAGTAAATTTTTCTTCTGTTTGAACTGTAAAATGGAACATCACCTTGCTTCTGTGTAGGATGTTTATCTCGTGTGGAAGTGAACTAGTATTATTATGATCTAAGTTAAAGCTGTTTATTCTTTGCAATATTTTCAATGAAAAGCTAGCAACAATACATTAGGAACCTCCTCTAACAGAAAAAGAGCCCAATCCATCCGAAAAACAGCATTGTGCAGCAGTAAAAAAGGGCTACAATACACACTCTGCTACCTCATTTTGTATCATAGAAATAACTGAATAATAGCTGTAAATAGCTAGCTTTTCTTCTAGAATATGATGAGTTGTATAGTGGTTGAAGGGATTGGGCTCTTTAGAGAGAGATTGACACTTTTGAGTTGGGTGTTGTCTACTGAGCTCGAACTACCAGAAGGTGGAGTGGGCTGGAGAAGACTAAGTAAATGTTGAAATTGGGCTCTAGTGAGATTAAGCCCAGAATCTTGAGTGAAGCTCTCATTGGTCTCCTTCTCCTCACCGTAAGAAGCATCATTGACGGCGCTGTTAGCTGAAGAACCAGTACGAGGATTAAATTTTGGCCTTCCAGGATAACGAGGATGACCCGGTGGATAACCATGCTTGCTATAACAAACGTCCATTGTGTGGCCGAGACGATGACAATATCCACACTTATTGGAGTTGGCTTTGTTCGTGGTATTTCTTGCTCTGTCTATGGCAACATTGGCAAACGAGTTAGGCTCATTAGTGGAAAAAATGACATCAGGTTGTTGACGTTCATGTTGAATGACCATGGAAAAAATCCGATTCACGATCGGTAGGGGGTCCATAAAGAGCACTTAAGACCGAACCACTGAAAAACGATCATCAAGACCTTTAAGAAACCTGATAATGAAGTCCTGTGTATGATATGTTTTAGCAGAACAACTGCAAAGAGTCATGGGGCGAAAATTATCCAGTTCTTCCCATAGGGCTTTTAAGCCAGTGAAGTAATCAGTGACATTTCGAGTTCCCTGTTTGAAGGCATAGACTTCTTGAAGTTCTGCGATTCGGAGTAAATCGCTTTGGGAAAAACGTTCGCGAAGATCGGTCCAGATGTCGATAGCTCTGTCAAGGTAGATCACACTTTGAGCTATGGAAGGTGATAGAGAGTTCAATAACCAGGACATGATGAGTGTGTTGCATCGTTCCCATTGAGGGAATAACGGGTCTGTGGCGGCAGGGGCTGGAATGGAACCATTGAGGAACCCCATTTTGTTTTTGGAGACAAGGGTCATGCGAAATGACCGAGACCATGAATGATAATTGTTGCCAACGAGGGCTGGTGCAACAATGACAGACGAGGGACTTTCACTAGGGTGGATGTGATATGGACTGGAAGGATTTTAGGTGGGGTTTGATGGGGAATTTGAAGAATTAACATCCGACCCTAGATTGGACGTATTAGAAGCTAAGCCTGACATGTCAGAGAAAGGCTCTTATACCATAAAAGGGAGACCAAAGGAAAAGAAAAAGAGGATATTTGAATGAATTCACTGTCTATTGATGAAAGAAATGTACCTCATATATACTGCTACAACGTGTGGATAAGAAAGAACAAAAAGAATAAGAAAATACTACAAGAAAATAACCACTATACAACTCATCATATTCTAGAAGAAAAGCTAGCTATTTACAACTATTATTCAGTTATTTATGTGATGCAAAATGAGGTAGCAGAGTGTGTATTGTGGCCCATTTTTCCTGTTGCACAATGTTGTTTTTCGGATGGATTGGGCTCTTTCTCTGTTATCCTCACATACACCAATATAAAAGAAAAAGCTATTCCATTTAGTTTACTCTATAGGGTAGGTGTCCAAACTTCTAAGTATTACCAAGATTGCATTGCCCGGCCTCTAAAGAACACCAAGCTAATAAGCAATAACAGCGAGATAAATGCAATATTGACCAGACAAAAGTAAAGGTCAACAACCATGTAACTTAACAATTTTTCTTATTAGATCGTCATAAAATGGTTTATGTTTTTTCCATTCATCTATGATTTTTCCATCAAGCCAAGACAGTCCCAGAAAAAGCAAGATAATTTGTGTTCTCAAAGGTACAAACTTCACAAAATGCATGGACAGTTCTGCAATCCAGTTAATCTGGTTAATAAATGGCAGTAATTCAGAATTTAGGATGACAAAACATTTTGTGATATAAGGTATTTGTTGGCAACATGAATTTTAAACAAAGTTTTTTGTTTTCAAAGGCACATATATCTTAAAAAATAGCACTCACCTTTAGATTAAGCTCCTTTACAAGGTTGGGTGCTTCAAAGGCTTTACGTAAACCAACACCGTACAGATCAAAAACCTGCAAAAGACAACACACATATTATTTATGTTGATGTAAAACTTCTGCCACACTACGTCGCAAGCATGAAGCATTAAAACCATACAGATCAAAAACCTGCAAAAGTGAATATCTAAACTGTTGTTTTAAAAATTAGTTCACAAGTATCAATTGAAAAATATTAAAATGTAACCAAAACTCTCTGTAAATAGTTTCTATGCAAGAAAACATAGCATTTAACCCACTTGGTTAACAAGTCAATAATAATTAACCAACATTAATGATATTGACAGGTCAACCACCTTACTCTTTCTCTAATTTTTACTTTAAGGGTTAAATGGGAAACTATAGCAAGATGGGGTATGCCACGCTGAAATTGTTATAGTTTTAAGTTAGATAGAAAATTATTGGAGTGAAAGAAGGGCACATGTAAAATGAACAAAATCCTACATAGATAGTAAAGAAACCCAAATCAGAGAAATGAGATATTCTCTTATCCAATTTCCCCCATTTTCCCTCCAGTACATACACAATAAGAAAGCACCACCGCCACAAACAATAGATATTTTATTCATTATTCATTGCAATTTCAAATATGAACTAGGCATAGTCAACCATACTTCAAGTAGAGAAGGGGGCACAAACAACAATCAAGAGCTACCAAGAGGAATAACACAACACTTACAGGTATGGGTATTCTTCTATCGTGAAAAACACAATCAGATACAATCAGTGGCGGATCTTGACCATTAATCTTGAAGAAGCCAAATAATATATTATTAATAAATAATAAATAAATATAAAATGAAGTAAGAAGATCAAAGGGTGAAAGGATAAAATTGTAAATACATACTTAAATATATTAAATAATCATTAAGTTTTAGGGGACAAAATCATAAATTAGATGAGAGTTACAAAACTGAGGAGGAAGCTGAAAGGATAAAATTGTAAATATACAAATAAATATATTAAATGTTCATTAAGTATGGGAAACCAAATCATAGGAGTTACCAAATTTTGGAGGACCTCGGCACCCCTCAACTAAGAAGATCCACACTGGATACAATGAAAACATCACCAATACTAGCTCCTTTGGCCTGAAAGCATCCGGTAATAAAAAAAACTAAGACAAATATGTTCATGCACATACAAATCCATTTATATATGACTACACGATATTATTTTTAGCTAGATACATAATCAATACAAGAGTTGTGTGATGATGATGGAGTCTCCCAAAGGGTATAGCTTTTTCTTCTGGAAGAGGAAGAGATTTGGGACAGAGAGACCCTGCGAGATACGTCACGGAAAACGTGAATCCCTCAGAAAGGAAAGATGCGAGAAGCGAATTGAGCGAGAAAAAGAGAAAAGGCAATATAGAGAGAGAGATAGAGAGAGGGGTTTACGTTTTGGCTTATGAATCGAAACGACACCCTAGCTCTGGTTCGGCATGGAAAGGGAGGAGCTCCACCACGACAAGCTCACGAGAATTTCTAGAATGTTCTGCGTCAAGAGTGGGAATTGGGGGGTTTTGCAGGTGGTGCTTGACGCTCGGGAGAGAGTCTCGTTTTGTGACTTGTGCAAATATTCAAAGCCGAAGGGAACATGAGGAAGCAACATTTTACTTCTTTTAAATATTTGGTGGAGATTTGTTTTTTGTTTTTGTTTTTTAATTTATTTATTTATATAATAATATAAAATAATTTTTTTATTTTAATTTATTTTTTTGTTTATTATTTAATTAAAATTTTATATTAAAATAATTTTTTAATATTAAAAATATTTAAATATTTATTTTTAAAATTATTTAATTTAATAAATTATTATAAATTAATTTAATTATGATTAAATTAAATTATTAAATAAAAAAATATTTAATTTTTAATTAGGTAAATAATTAATTTATTATAATATATTTAAAATTAAGTAATTATTATATAATTTTAAATATTTAATTTTTTTAATTTAATATTAATTTTTAAAAATATACTTTAAATTTGTCGATAATTTTAGTTAACAACTAATTGTTAATTTACTCACGGATATTTTTGTCGGTAACTAATTGTTAAATTACCTAACGAGATATATTCATCAGTAAAACCAAATTTCACAAATTCGTTAGTATTATTCCTCAGTAATCACTCATTTTTTGACAAGTACATATTCAGTCGGTAATTAATTGTTATTTTACTAATTAATATATCCATCGGTAAGACCAAATTTCACAAATACTTTAAATCTGTCGATAATGTCCCTTGGTAATCACTTATTTTCCAACAATTACATATTCATTGATAACTATCTATCGGTAATTAATAATTTTCTTGTATTGAGAGTATCACAAGAAGGTGCAAATAATAATGTTGTCTCTATTTCTAATAGTAATAAAGAAACCGAAGATGATGTCATTTATGAAACAAATGAGAATTGAGATTAGGAGATGATGTCATCTATATGCTTTGGTTTGTATTTTTCAAAATATTAAAATTATGCAATATAATCTTACTATAATGCCTATCATATCATACTTATAATTAATAACATTATTAAGAAAGAAAATAAAATTATTTTTAATATAAAATAAAATATTTCTATTTTTAATATTTATAAATCTTACTATTTTATAAAAATAAAACCTATTGAATATTTTTTCAAAAATTTTAAATTTGAAAACACAAATAACCTTGCTTAAGCTACATAATAGCTTAAAGTGACACACGCTTAAGCCAAAAAAACAAATTTAAAGCGAGATACGTTGAAGCACTGTCGCGCCGTCCGTTTCGATGTCTAGGGACATCTCGAACGTTTATGCGAGCGGTCGAGATAAGATGGTTTAGACTCACGTTTTATTTAAAAATATGATCATTGCTTCCGAGGTGCTCAACAACTGAACTATCATCTAATAAAAGCAAGGTTTTCGCAAAAAGGTTCCTATGGAGTCGCCACCAATGTTTTGACCATAAACATTGGAAAAGGATAAAAAGGCGTTGATTTTAAGAAAAACCAAACTTGGCCATTATAACCAGAGTTAGGTAAGGGTGTTAGTTACGCGTGGGGAAGGTGTTAGCACCCCCACGATGCCCCTTTCGGGTTTCTTATGACGGATTAATTCATAAAATAAAGATTAAGAGAAATTACGCTATTACCCTAATTTATTACACAATATTAAAAATGGTTATCTACATGATTCTATTTTCTATTGCATACAAAAAACAGTAAGTAAAGCAATAAAAGAGAAGAGAAGTGAAAAGAACCTCTATAGTAAGCTTTTATTATAAATCTTCAACTATGACGATGCGTTTTGGCAATCCCCCGCACTACACAGACTCTCCTCCCGAATACAGGAACGAAACTAAAAAAACTCTAAGAAGAATCGAATGCCGGAAGAGACTTCCTTAACCGATTGTTACCTTATATGCAATCGGAGAGATCGTTCGAAAGAGGGAGAGAAGAGAAGAGTGAAGTGTGTCTAAAAACGTCACCTAGGGTCCCTATTTATAGTATTTTCAGCCAGAAGACTCGGGACGGCCGTCTCAGACCAAGAAAACAGGGACAACGGTCCAAACAACTTGGGACGGCTGTCTGGAAGTTGGGACGACCATCCCAAGTGAAAAAAAAGGGTTGGGACAGCCGTCTGGGAAGTGAGACAATCGTCCCAAGTGTAAAAATGGGTTTGGGACAGCCGTATGGGAAGTGGGATGGTCGTCCCAAACCCCCTAACAACATTTTCTTACCTTTTTCTTATTTTTTGAGTCCAAAAAGCTCTCCCATCCTCACATGGAGCCTAGTGTGAAAGAATTAATGGTTGAGTTCAAGAGGGGGGGGGGGTGAATTGAACTTAAAAACTTTTTCACAAAACTTTACTTTCTTTTGGAAGAATGAGTTATCTTTATTCAATTCTTGAAAAGATGATTTGATTTAAAACACAGCAAGATTATATTCAGAATTTAAAAGAGATGATAGAAAGAAATCAACACACAAATTTATACTGGTTCACTCTAATCCAGAGCTACGTTCAGTTCTTGACAAAACCTGTCAAGTTTCCACTAATACCAAGTGACAATTACAATCCGTAGATCCTCACCAATCTACACCAAGAACTATCTTTTCAACCTATAAGATAGAATCTTGAAAAACACCCAGTAACCAAATCCAGTTACTGTACCAAGTGTAGCTTACAATCCAATCTACACAATTCACACGATACAAAAGAATAAGGAAAGAAGAAACCTGGACTTTGAATTCTAATTGCCCAGCACCAATTCTAAAGCACTCTCTCGCTGTGAATGACCACAATGTTGATCAAAGCACCTTATGATATGACAAAATCTTGAATGCAGAGAGAAAAACGTAGATGAACGATTCACAGATTGATTTCTCAAGTTTTCTCAAGTAGTGTGTTGTATATATTTTTTGAAAGATAGATCAATACTTGTTTATATAGAGTAAAACAAAGTTTCGATACGTGTTCTCTATCAAAATCTGTTACGAGAGAGAAAAACAATCGATTAAATTTGAAGTATATCAGATAAAAAGTGATTACGCTCGATTAGAATAGAAGAATAATCAATTAGACTCGAATTATGATCGATTATATTTAAACTATGATCGATCAGAATATATTTCAACTGATTGAAACCGCGATTCAATCGATTGATTTCACTTAAAGGTTCATTCAATCGATTGTTTCGAGTTTTCAATGGATTGAAACTGACTTTATGAAAAATAATAGCTCTCTGTTTCAACCGATTAAAAAACATTTCAACTGATTGAAATCCTGCAGACTTTTAAGACTCGAAAATGACTTTCGTTTCAACGAGGTTGAAAACCATTTCAACATATTGTTTTTCTGAAAACATTTAGACTTAAAAAATATCTTTATTTTAACAGATTGAAAAACGTTTCAACCGATTGTTTTTCCGAAAACTCTTAGATTGAAAAATATCTTTCTTTTTCAACAGATTAAAAAGTATTTCAATTGATTGTTTTTCCGAAACCTTCATATTGAGAAATTTACTAAGTTATTTTAACTTGTTGATTCTGCGAATCAATCAATTGAAAATACGATTATATAGAACCACTTATTCGTTAAGTGATTTTAACCGATTGAAAATCTTTTTCAACAGATTGAAAAACTTAGTTTGTTCTTTTAATGCAGAAAATGATTTTCAATGCTATGCGAAAGATTAAGGCGCTTCATCACAACATATAATGGCCTATCAAGGGATTAAGTGCTCAAGTTATTAAGTGCTCAAGTTAAAAACCTAATCATCTACACACCCACAACCTAAACTAAATTTATGTCTTCATCAAATTATATCTAAGTCTTCATCAAATCCACCAAGTCCACCAAGTGCTTCAATCTCCCCTATTTGATGGAGACAAATAACCACTGCACCTGCATAAAATCGGACCAGAGACATGCATACCGGAGACATATATTTTGTGATGTGGTGTGTGTGTAGTGGCGTTTTAATCAAAATAATTCTCCCCCTATTTGATTGCATCAAATAGATTGTCATGGATACAGATCCAATGGGGCCACTTGGGAACCCCCAAATAAAAAGCGAGAATATAAAACCAACTAAGAAAAGAAAAAAAAACAGAATTATCAGCGAGACATTGATCAGTAAACTTCAATCATCTCCGGGACCTGGGTTGAATTGTATTTCCACAATTCTATTGTAAATGTCTTCAAGTTGATTATCGATGTCTTGGAACCTTGCAATAAAATTCTCATCCAAATAGTGCTTGTCGAGCCCTTATAGTCTGTAGTCATATTCATATGCCTCCTTTGATCAGCTTGAAGTTGATTTATTTGTCTGCAGCATTGTTCTTTCAAACTGTGATGAGAGGTGTGCCACGGTCGGGGGTGAATTATATGGAATCATCTCCAGCGGGATCACTTCTTCCATAGGATCGGATGGATGAGCTCTAGAAGTGCCGGGAATATCGGTGTTGATATTTTCTTCCTCTTGTCCATCTTCATCACTTTCTTCATCTCTTCCGAGCATCCTCCTTGGAGACCCACTCACCATCAACTTTCATAAATCCCATTTTGTGAAGCATAGAGTTATTTATTTCGTTTGTTGAACGAACTGTCTCGACAAGTTCTCCTTCAAGATCAACACCAAAATATGTTAAAAATTTGGAAATCGGTATAGCATAGGGGTACCTGAAATCACCGAGTCTTTTTGCCTTGATCATGTGGTCTTTGATGACAAAAACCCAGTTTACCGAATCTCGTGGTGAATGCAATACATTAGTACTAAATCTCCCTCATTTAGCACCGCATGATTGCTCCCCCTCGGAGTGAGCTGCCAAGACACAATGCGGGCAAGCAACCTTTCTTCCAATTTTAGTTTCCCGGTATTGAGCGAGTCGACGAGTCATGCCTATTCTTCATGCATGACCGAAAATATTGAACCTTATTAAATTCCTCCACATCGAAGTACACCCTTTGGTGACTTTCACTCCTAAATCCTTTAAACCGACAACCTCCTTCCGGATGTTAGGAGTAATCTCAATGTCCACACCTTTAATTTGGGTTTTCAAGGTGGAACCTTCAAAGGACAAATTTGTGAAGAAAACTTTGATCAAGTCGGGATAAATCCTACCAG